GGTGTCATGAAAGCAAAAAGTTTTATTCATGTTTAAAATTACACAACTACCACAAGGAAGACTTTTCTGTCCAGGGTGTAGTCTGGTTAGAAAGTAACACTAAACATCTTTAATACATTAGAATCACTGCCACAAATCATTTTGTCATGACTTTTTTCAGTTTCAGAATCACATACAATAGAAAATAAAAGAGAGAAAAGAAGAAGTCTTGAACCCTGTTGAACAGAGCTGGAAATGTACAGTTCTGAATACTGAAACCTCTATGCATTACAGATTTATAGGGATTTTTTTTAATTTTTTTAATGATTTCATAACAAGATGAGCAACATTCAAAATGTTTCTTTTCTTTTTTCTTCATTATTTACAACAGTTTCACTGTTCGGTGTTTTATTTAATCAACATTATTCATCGCGCACCCCCCCCCCATGATAAAAGCCACAACATTTCTGTCCCCTCCTCCCTCATTTTTTTCATCATATTAATATTTTCGCTTGTTTTTTTTAAGTTGCAGTAGAGCAACATCATTTTATTAAAAGATTAAAATATACATTAGATTACATAGAGAATGAAGTGTTTACACTGTCCTGGGATGTGATGTAAATAATAAAAAAATAACATTAAATGGGGCCATAAAGAAAGAATGTTTGTGGTACTGTTTAGAGGTAGTAAGTGAGCACTCTAAGCTACAGAAATGTTGGAAATGACTGGATTTCTTTGAATGAGGTAAGAAAGCTCCGTATTGATTTGCAGGATCTTAAGCTATATTACAAATTTTCCTTGGTTGGTGGTGGTGGGGCAGTGTGTGTGTGGGGGGGGGGTGTCTGTGTGCCATGACAGAATGATCTACTGTTGGGAGATTTGTTGATTTCATAAGCAGTACAAAATAAATGTTTACATATGTACAAACAAAGAAACAAATTATAAAATATGGAACGGTGTCATGTTCTAGTCAAGCAATCAATTACACTTCTTTATGTTCCGCAGTTTGAATAGTCACGTTCTCCGTACTAATGTACACAGCTGTAAGACAAAAATAAATCTTGAAAGGAACTACAAAGCTGCCATTGAGCTGTCAACATTAGCATTGTTGAGTTGCCGGACAAGTCTGAGAGCACATTAGAGTAAAATAATAACACAACAACAACAAAAACCTGCTTTAATTGAAGGAAATGAAAGCAAACTCAATTATCAAAATGGAAAATGGCCATTAAATCAAATGGGCATTTAAAATGTCATAAAATATCACCCAGTTTTTGTTATGCTGAGATCATTATCCTGAAAGTTTACTCTGGAATATTTTAGAGGTTTTTATATTTGTACATGTCTGTGTTTACCACAACAAACAAGTAAAAACATGTTAATACACTTGATTTGTGAAGATGAAAGTAAAAACACTGCGCGATCCGGAAACACTTGGTGTCCATAATGGAGGATGTCATCTGCACGTGTGCGGTGTGGCCGAGGGGATTTTTAAAATACAAGAAAACTGATTTTTTTTCCTTAAAAAAGTGTATTTTGCTGTCTTTGTTTTTTGTTTTTTTGTTTTTAGCAAAACGAAGAAGTCCATGCTCAGCTTGAGGAGAAGATGCATTTATAGCTGATCAATTCGACGTGTCAGAGTGCACACTTTCAGCTCCTTCTGTTGGAGATATTACAGAAGATGAAGTCGGTGCATCTTGCCATCCTCCATTAGCCTGGCACAGAAATTGAGAAAGGTTGGGGTTACGTTAGATATAATGAAAACAAAAGAATGAAAAGTTTGGACATTCTATAAATAAACAGCAGTAAAAAAAGAACAGATTTTGGTTTCAAGAATGTGCCAACTGATATGAAACCTCTCCAGATCCAGTGATGCCATGTGAGTGGCCCAGTCTTTGCATTACAGTGGCATCAGCAAGGAGACTCTTAGAAACAAATTTGTCTCGTGTCCGGACCAATGGGAGCAGTCCCTGAAATCAGTGTCTAAGCAGATTTCAGCAGCGACCGACAGCTTGTCGCTACATATTCTCCTGTCAGTCAGGAAGAGGGAGGGCTCGGCCGGGTGAGGTGGGGAGAGCTGAGTGAAAGTGACAAGGCAGGGCCTCTCCAAGAGAGCCAGTCTTAGCCAGGCTGACTATGCGTTGCCCCAGGCGTGACCTAGCCTTTACTGGATCTCTCTACGTCACCAACAACAAAGCTAAAGGTTAGTCTCTGCAAATGCATCTAAAATCCCATCGCTGGCTTGTTGCTAAAAATGGAGACAAAGAGACTTGCCACAATTATTATTCTACTACTAAACTAGTATAATGTTCAGAATAATATACAAAGCTCCTTTTATGAAGGGCATTTATTCAGCAGCGTTAATGTATTGCTCTGCTGTAATGCAGTCAGCTCAGGTCTGCACTGCAACATGGAAGTGAGAAACCTTGTGAGAAAGTGAAAACCACTTGATCCTGCTAGGAGCTGACATGTCTAAAGAGCTTACAGCAACAAGGCTACAGCAAAGCCAAAATGACACCAAAAACACTGAATGCTACAAACAACTGCCAGCATTTGTTTGCATAAAGCAGGCTAATTTTGTTTCACAAATTTTCAGCAGGACATGAATGCAGTATATATATA